TTACACGAAATGGAGGTCAGCCTAATAATTGGGTAAATACGTGATTTTAGATAATGTTCTTCTTCTGGCAGGGCTTACTATCTTTTTTATACAAAGTTTATTCTAAATATGTTAACTTTAGGTAACAAGCTTGATGCAGATATTTTTACGAATATACTTCATAAAAAACTGCGTCAATCGTTTCAGAAGATTTCAATAAGACTAAATGTTAAGCATCACTTGTCATCTCCAAGCGTCCAAACTAATCAATTTGCTGCCTACATTGTCTCGTTCTTTGTCTAACAATTACAATTTTTTAGCTATTAGTTACTGAAGTTAGAGACTGATTCGAATGGTGTAGCAATAATTATCCCCTCAAAATGGTACGAAGCTGCTAAATACATTCTAAGGACTCGATTTTCATTGCAGGAAAAATAGTTTCCGACAGCTTGCTAGTGGGTTTGAAAAGACCAGAATATCGAGCACCATAATTTTACATTATAATTGGCTATTATGAGTTGTGTTCACCCGATTTCGTTTAAGCTAATTAATGACTGATAGTTGAATTTTTCCCACAATTATATGAATAGAAATGACGTTTTCATTGAATTTCACATAGCTTTGTTTTCCCAAAATGTGTTCTCATCCAGGGCAAACTGCAATTTCGATCTCGCCTAGGTCTTATCAACATCCCCAACTGGAGTCGAACCATGACAGTTCAGCGTAAAATCTCCACAAGTTAACTACTACGCCACATTGTCACGAGTGCCCTTTGGCAACAGGGAATATGTGCATTTTAAGGATGGTGGGATTGTCGATGGAGCAAAATTATATTTGCTATAGCAATCGACGACATTGCATTTTTTGCTTTTTGAGTAGGTTTTCGAGAGCAATATTAAGTTAATCAACAATTCTTCCGAATAGAATTAAGTTCGGACCAGAAGCAAAAGCTACATTTTTAATATAATCAATGTTAATATGTTAAATAAATTAAAAGTTAAAAATATGGAGTTTTGAAAAGGAAAATTTTTACTTTTACTACATATCTCTCGTAATTCCCACCTAATAGACATTTTAACCTCGGCCTATTCAAAACGAATTCTGTATCGACAGCCAAATAAAAAGAGTTTTAATGACTGGGGGTTGAGAGAAAAGAGAAAGAAATAATAAAAACATACCACAAGATCTGGTTTTCGCAACTTGTTCATTTATTTAGGCAGAATTTTAGGCACGGTGTTTGCGGTGTCTTTTCAAACCATAAATCTCCCAGCACGTGATGATTGGCTACTTGCACTCCCAGAGTTATTTCTAACATCCTATTTATCATCGTCAACTAGAGTCAGAGGCTATGCAGTACTGAAAACGAATAACAAAGAAGCAAAGCCTCAAAGAGGGAAATGCGGCGTGCCCGTTGAAACTGATACATTTTGCTTCAAGGCGAATCATCATTATCTTATTTGTCGTGCAGAATTACTTGCCTAATGATAATCTCAGAATATGTTGAACAAGCAGAGTACAGAAGTAATGTAAAGAACATTTTGTAACTTGACATGTTTACCAAAAACACGCGGTTCCTATCAATGCGAAACCCAACAACAACAATGTGTAACTGCTTAACTCAAGGAAGTTAGGGTTGTGTGTAAAAAGGGGCAATATTTTTGGCTCCAAACTGGCATAACCACAGTCCATATTCCGCAAGGACTACTAATGAGTCACTGAGGCCTGGCTGGATCAGCCGTTTAAAATGCAAGTTAGTAGAATAAATCTTCCTTTAACGTCGGTAGAATCGCTAACAGTTACCGGAGCATTAGTTAAAAAATGATTAAGCATAGCAGTCTTTAGATTATTTCTTAAAAGTACTTCTGGCAAAGTGATGAATAGGCATTTCCACTTAACCAACTTAGTGAGGACAAACTGACTGGCATGCCGTCAGAAATTTCATTTGTTTTTAGAAATGGGTTGACCTAGTTGTCGCAATTGGTCTTGTTGTCAGGGCGACTTAGTAGAACGCACCTAATCCAAAGTCGTATAGGCTAGTGTTTGTCATGATTGCCAGTATCAGGCAGTGGAAATGGTACATTCTCGAACGTTTTGCAGGCACCATAGTCGGCATCATCAGTGAGTTTTGCTATTTTCCACACCAATCTAG